ATACTAATTGATCATTGGATGGGTGACTTATATATTTAGACTTGATAACGTAACCCGAGCTCATCCACACGTCAAAAGTATAAATTATTTTTCATACTGTTAATGAACCTTATAAAAATCGGCCTGTAAATATTTACTGAGTTCGATCATGAGCATTTTTTAGTATTATTAAATGTATGAAATTATGAGGCATAAAAGAGCATTATAAAAAGTGAAATGATAAAAAGTCTACATTTTGTTTTTGGTCAGTGGAGTAGCTACATTTATCTTATGGGGTTTCATCTTTTTTGAAGATACCAAAAGTTCATAATTACATAAGTATCACTTAAAATTACCCAAAAATGTTAATATATATATAATATAGTATAATGTAATATAATATAAATGGCCCAATAATGGGCTAGCTAGCTATCTAAGCCTAACATCTAGATGTGTTCGTCTATATACAATTGAAACTTGATCATGTACTATTTTATGTTGGCCATTGTGGACTATTTTCTCCTTTGCAAAATAAAAAATAAAAGACAGTGTGGTCCCTTTGTCATTCGGGTGCCATATAACCAAAGGTTCCGGCCGGTATAGTCGTATGCAACCCTTTGGAGTGGTGGACTAGCCTGGCTAGGCACAAAGTCCTCCAATTTCGCATCGAAACCTGAATCAAGCATGACATTGGCGGACTTTATGTCCCTGTGAACAAAGCAGCGTACGCATTCTTTGTTGATACATAGCAATGCCAAGGCTACCCGCCATTCGATTCGGTACCTCTTTTCCCCATCTCAAATAGCTTGATCTCTCCTTGGACAGACGAGAGTTTGAGCTACTAGAGATGAACTCTTAGAAAAGGGTGGAGTTCCCTTTTTCTAGACGCGGGAATAGGAAAGAGACTCCAGCAAGCTTTCAGTTTCTTGGACTTTTTCCTTTCCTCAAGTATGAGCAAAAAGTCTAAAGTTGCACAAGCTGTAACTCGCCTCTTTTCAAAAGAGAGAGACATAACATTACAAATGCGGCTACATTTGAACATGGTTGAAGAGGATGTTTCAACCATCATGTGCTATGATCCGTTGTGGGTATGAGGAATAGCAACGGTTGAGGATTAACATTACTTGAGGGAATTGTAGGCTACTGGAGAGCAGTGGGGATTTTCTATTGGCTTAGATACTCGAATTTCCTTAATGGGCAAATTTGAATCACCAACCCTTGGCATATCTAATCGTAAAAAATTGAAAATTAATATGGTTATGTTTTAGAACCGTAGTCCACAATAGAGAAATAAAATCTATGTATTCGGCTCTTAGTGGACTGCATGAATTAAAGAAATGGGGGAATAAATCAGCATTATACAAGAAAGCAGTAAGGCAAAGTGACCGACTGATAGATAATTCGTTCAATCTATTCCCTTATTACATGGCAATGAAAAATCTATTAAGGTCAAAGGTCAAATATGATGGCTCAGTCGCTGATGGCCACTTGTCGTTTTTGACCGAATAAAGAAAGCCTAATATTGACAAAGTCTCCTAAACTAAACCCTTCGGACCAAAAAAAATGGAAAAAAAAAAAAGAAAAACGCAAAAAGAAGGTGTCTGGTAAACCTAATCTTTCGTCACGGTGTTCTAGTATGATGAAAAAGTGTTTTTCTTTGCATCATATATTATTTCTATAACAAAGCAATCATCTTACGTTTAACACGGGGCGTAATCAATGACCCATGTCTGATGTCAATCCAGTGCTTGACTTATTAAAACTAGCTCACTAAATTAGTTTATTTGTGTGATGTTTTAGACTTTGGATGGCTCTTTAAACGAGTGAGTTGCATTCAAGTGTCAATATCAACTTGACACGTCATTTTTGTAAACCAATTTTATACATCAAATTTTATAAAGTCTCACATTTTTATGTGATTAGAGACTATCCTCTAGAGCACATGTTTAATGACCCACAAAGGAAGTAGATCTGGATTATAAACTTTAATGTACGGATGCCAATTCAGTCATAAACTTTTTAATTTGACCAACGTAGTTCTAAATCTTCGATTTTTCAATGTAGTTTATTCGGCCAATTTAGACCGGTAATTGCCAAATGGCAATCCAGTTAGCGCCATTTATTCTACGTAATTAGACTGGCAATATGATGTGTATGACGCCAAAAGATGTTTTAAGAAATTTTATAAGCTTTTTGATATTTTCTTATTATTGTCATGGTCTCAATCTTTGTTTGTTTTTTTTTTAACTTTCTACTGTTTTGATTTTTTTTCTTTTATTCTTTTTCCTTATTGTTCGTCTTGTTTTTAGGACGCCCCACCATTTGGCAGGGCTTCACCGGGACCTTGGCGATGGCTAGCAACCCTTGTCTAAATCTGGGTTGGTCATGAGAGACCCCGAAACAGGGCAAAGGAACTCGTCGGGCGTGGCTTCTCGACCACGATGATTGGTTTTCGGCTTGTTGGGTTTGGGCGACTTGCGAAAGGAGATGATAGTCCCACCTGTTGAGGTTGGGGCCCACCTTTTCTTTCGTTGGGCCTGCGGGTGATCAACTTTATTATGGCTTGGGCAAATATCACAAAAAAAAAACCCTAAATTATATTCATTGTGACACAAAAATCCTAAACTTTTTTGTGTTATAAAAAATCATAAACTTGTCAACTGTGACACAAATACCTAAACTTTTTTTGTGTCACAAAAAACCTAAACTTATACATGTATGGCATATATATCCTCTATTTCAGTTTCATCCAAGCTATATTTGTCACACTAGTATAAGTTCAGGGTTTTTTTTATGTCAAAAAGAGTTTGGAGTATTTGTGTCATAATGGACAAGTTTAAAGTTTTTAGTGACACAAAAAAATCCGATATTTGTGTCAAAATGGGTATAGTTTGAAGGTTTTTTGTGATATTAACCTTTATGGCTTCTTCGAACCCCATTTTTGGAGACTGTTTCTTGTCACCGAGGAGTGGGAAGGGGTGATCTCTCTCTTTGCTTCACTAATGTATACGAATCATGATAATTGAATTGAAGGAGTATCAGCGAAGCTGCATGATTTGAGGGTTGGGAGAAGAATCAGATTGTTTTGCAGATGTTGGGGTTAGGTGGGTTTAGTGTCGATTAGTATGGCACGAGACTATTGTGACAATGTTATTGAACACTGAAACATAAAAGAATATCGAGTCTCAACGGAGAGAGAGATGGTGACGGTGAGAGGAGGCGATTTGAGGATGTGAGACGAAAGTGCATTAGAAGTTTTAAAACTTGTCATCAAAGTGCAATTGAATTTCAAAACATTCAAAAAGTGCAATCAAGTCATAAAACTTGTCACATTGGTTTGATCAAATCCTTCTGTTGATTGCTTTCTTTTGAAAGTTTTAGAACTTGATTGTATTTTCACAATAAGTTTGAGGACTCAATTGTACTTTTGTAATAAGTTTATGACTTCCAGTGCACTTAAACACATTTTTTCGCTTATGGAAGAATGGAATCGATTAGAGAGGAGAGACAGGGATTGCAGATATGGGCGAGGGTTACAACCTGTGGCCACATAAAGAGAAGATGGACAGTGATGTCTTCTTGACATTGAAGTGGAAGGAGATGAGACATAAGGAAGAAGATGAATAGTGGTGTGGAAAATAAAAGAAAGGGATATGTTCACTAGAAGTCTTAAAACTTGTCATGAAAGTGCAATTGAGTCCTAAAACTTGAAAAAAGTGCAATTAAGTCCTTAAACTTGTCAAATTGCTTCTATTGAGTCATAAAATTAACACCGTCTAACTTATTAACGGAAAACGCTGACGTGGCTTATTTTAATATTTTATCTCTCATATGTGACTTATTTTAATTTTCAAATTTTATTTAAATTAAGTTTAAAAAATAAAAAAAACAAGAAGGAGAAGACCTACGGCGCTGTGGCCACGCCCTCGTCGTTGCTGGTGGCGATCGGGAAGGGCTGACGGAGGTCACCTAGGCCTTCTCAAAGCTCGATGACCCTCGCAGGCCTCGGGCGAGGCCCCGTCAAGGGCCTACAAGCCCCGATCTGGGGGAGAGCGCAACCCTCACCCCAGATCTGAGTGAGGGTCGCCGGCCCTCGCATGGGGCAAGCAAGGCCTGGCCTAGCGTCGCCCACCCCAGGGGAGGCCTCGTTAGCCCTTGCCGGCCCCAGGTTAGGGCCGGCGACCCTCGCTCAAATCTGGGGTGAGGGTCGTGCCCTCCCCTAGATCCAAGCTTGCAGGCCCTCGTCGGGACCTCGCCTGGGGCCGACGAGGGTCACTGGGCTTCAATAAGGCCAGGTAACCTCCGCCGGCCCTTCCCGGTGGCTGTGGTAACGGCCACCGGCAATGGCGAGGGCTTGGCCACAGTCGCCGGTTGTGTCTGTTCACCTTCTTCTTCTTCTTCTTTTTAGCTTTTAGCTTTTTTATTTAATTTAATTTATATTTTTAATTTTTTTTTTCTGATGTGGCATCCAACAAGCGCCACATCATTGCTACCTGTCTAAAAAAAGTAATAAAATAAGACACGTCAGCATTTTTCATTAGCCTAGTTGGACGGTGTTAATTTTAGGACTCGATTGAACCAACTTGATAAGTTTTAAGACATGATTAGACTTTTTGCAAGTTTTAGGACTCAATTACACTATCGTGATAAGTTTTAGGACTTCTATTAAACATATCTCTAAAAGAAAAGAACAAAAATGAACATAAATGAAAAGGAGAAATAAAAGGAAATGTTTAGAAAATTAAAAAAATTGCAAAACCACGACATTTCAGTTCTGTTCTTCTACGTCAGCGCCGTCGAAGTGCCACCACGTTGGAAGGTCATCATTTCAATCGTGTTCCCTTTTTTTATTATTTTCAAATCAAGAGACTAGTCTTCGTGGCAGCACGTGTGGACTCTGTCAATCTCGTTTACATTGAACCGTTCCACGGTTGATAGCAAGTTCGTCAACAAAGAAAAGTCATTGGAACACGCCACGGACGCATATATGTGCAGGTAACAACGTCAACGCACCCAAAAGCTGTGCTGATTCCCAGATTTCAAGAGCAATCTTGAAACCTCAACGAGAATGGAACTTCGCAGCTAAGAGATCATGAGTTTCAAGACCAGAGAGCTTCGATCACTCTTACTAGTCTTGGTTCTCTCTCTAGCCATTGCCTTCACTGCTTCGGCATCGTCACAGGGCATAGATTTCAGCTTCCAGACTTTCAACGATAGTATCATTCAACGCCAAGGCAATGCGACGTATGATTCGAGCAGCTTCATCCAAATTACGGAGGCCAATCGAGACAAGATCCTCTCTTCGAGCGTGGGCTGGGCCACGTACCACGAGCCGATGCGCCTTTGGGATAAGGCGACAGGGAACGTGGCGGATTTCACCACCCAATTCACCTTCGTCATCAATTCTCTACGAAGCACGAGTTTCGCTGATGGAATGACCTTCTTTCTTGTGCCCAAAGGATCTCAACTCCCAGCCAACTCGTCAGGACAACAGCTTGCTCTGCAAGATCCTTCCAACTCTTCTACTTCGTTTGTAGCCGTCGAGTTCGACACTTATGTCAACAACTATGCCAATGTTGTGGACCCGTTTTGTTCACTAAAAGCACATGTCGGTATAGACTTGAATAATCTCACTTCCACGGTCAGTAATTGCACTGATTGGCTCTTCGAGAAAATCACGACCGGTGGGCGTATCAACGCTACGATAGCATACAATTCAAGCACACAGAACTTGAGCGTTCTCGTGATAGATGCCGATGCCATGGGTACCAACATAAGTTCCTCCGCCATCTCTGATATAGTTAACATGACAAAGTATTTGCCGGAGTGGGTGACTTTCGGTTTCTCGGCTACCACTGGTTCAGTTTTCGAGCTGCACACTATTGAGGCATGGGAATTCAGATCTATTGTGCAAGTGGCTGAAACAGATATTTCGGTTCCACCTCCAGCAAATGGTGATGCTAAAAAGAGTGAGTTATGGCTATGGTCTATCTTAGGCTCAGGTTCTTTAATTTTACTCATTCTTGCTCTAGCCTTCATTTGGTTTCGTCAACGTTCGAAGAGAAAGAGAACTTACACGAGTGGAGAAGAAGATGATGTAGCGATCGAAGAAGAATTCGGGCAAGTGTCGGGGCCCAAGAAATTCTCCTACAAGGACTTGATTGCAGCGACCGATAATTTCACAATCGAACGGTTGCTTGGGGAAGGGGGCTTTGGGAGAGTGTACCAAGGTTTCTTGACCAGCATGAATGCTAATGTCGCAATCAAGAAGATTAGCCCGGGGTCAAGACAAGGGATAAAGGAGTATGCCACCGAAGTGAAGACCATAAGTCAGCTTCGGCACAGAAACTTAGTCCAACTCATCGGGTGGTGTCATGAGAAAAAGGAACTCCTCCTTATATATGAGTTCATGTCTAATGGTAGCCTTGATTCTCATCTATTTAAAGAACGAACCTTCTTACCATGGGAAAAGCGGTACATCATCGCACAAGGCATAGCCTCGGCATTGCTTTACCTCCATGAAGAATGGGAACAATGTGTCCTGCACCGGGATATAAAGTCCAGCAATATCATGCTCGATACCGATTTCAATGCCAAATTAGGGGACTTCGGTTTGGCTAGGTTAGTTGACCATGCCAAAGGATTACAAACGACAGTGTTGGCGGGGACCATGGGCTATATGGCTCCTGAATGCATTTACACGGGCAAGGCGAGTAAGGAATCGGATGTCTATAGCTTTGGAGCCGTCCTATTAGAAATAGCTTGTGGAAGAAAAGTCATTGAGCCCAGGGCCGAGGAAGGTCAAGTTCGGCTGGTGGACTGGGTTTGGAAGCTGTATGGGACTGGGAGGCTATTTGATGCGGCAGAGGTGAAACTTGGTACTGATTTCGATCAAAAGCAACTAGAGTGCTTGATGGTTGTAGGCTTGTGGTGCGCTCATCCGGACCACATTGCCCGTCCTTCTATAAGAGAAGCATTGAGTGTTCTCAACTTTAACACTCCGCTGCCTATTCTCCCATCGAAGTTGCCAGTCCCTACATATATGGCGCCTCTATCCGAATTCTCTACAGTATCGATTGTTTCGTCCAATGTCACCTCAACCAGCGGGACCGAAGAGTCCACATTTCCTACCTCTTCTATACGATCCTCTTATTCAGCTTCCTCTGCATTGCTCCCAAAAGCCGGATGAATTCCTTCTTTTGGTATATTTTTTGATAATCAGTTTGACTTGTACATTGTACTTCGAAATTTGATGTTGGATATTATCTGTTTCATATAAGTTACTTTATGTGTACATCAGTATTTATCTTCTTTTGATGTCCATAATAAGGAAGGTAGTATTTATCTTCTTTTGATGGTTTATTATCTGTTGTCCATTGCTAGTTAGAGTTTCCTAGCAAAATCGATCATCCTTGTGCTGTCCTTTCATGCTCCATCAATGTTAAAAGTCAATACGCCTCACATATGAAGGACTCCGAACAAATTCAGGTTGAATACATATTGTGAGCGCTGATTGCCTGAACTCATAAAGTGAAACTACTTTTAAGTCTTAAACTTTTTAGTTGGTCTTAATAGAAATTTCGTAAATTGTTCTGTCGTTGCACAAATTGAAAGACTTAGTATGCCCGCGTTGCATTTTTTGTAAAATGCTGGGTCGCCTCATCCCATAGGTGCAAGGGCTCATGATATTTGGCTCGGCCGGCACTGGAAGTGATCTGTATAGTGTTGGATGCAGGAAGTAAATAGAGATGCCTCGCCTTCGAGCTGGGCTCTGTCTTTGAAAAGTCCGTAAAATGAGCGAGATTCCTTCAGAAGATGCTGAAGCAGTGAGAGCAATGGTCTGAGACAAGACAATGGAGAATCATTGGAACGCCATAAGGTCTCAATGTTTGAAGATCATGTGCATTGAGCTGTAATGTTCCATGGTCATGAGGATTTAGCAATTCCTGTCTTGAGTTGTAAAAGACAGTTCGAAGACTGCCCGAGCTAATTAATTTGTAGCCTTGTCATTCAATTTTGGAGAAGCTTCAGAATCTTGACTGGAGTTAGGAGAACACTTCAAACGGTGGATTTTTTCGATAAGTAACTCTTCTGGTTTTGTCGAGCTGTCCTGTTTCAGACAAGCCAGCCAAAAGAGTGGCCAAGGCATGATCTTCCAAAAACATTAGATCGCGAGGCCGCATCTAATTGGATTGCTCTTCTGCGGCCCGAACGTTCTTGACCCGGCAAAATCCATCTATGAGTGGGGTCACGCCCCTATGAAGCATTTCTCTCGCAAGAGTCATCGACACGTCCATTCTTTTTGTTGTGGGAGCAAGCAATCAACGAACGGTAAAATTGACAGAACAAAAAATAAATTGAACATCAAATTTACATGGTTTGGCTTACGTCCACGGGGAGAGTAGCACGAAATTTCACTATAGATCAAGCGATACAACGGAGATTATAACTACATTCGAGTACTTAAACATTTTCAGTATTTCCCAAGTTCCAATTACACCTAATGAATCATAGTGTTGAGCCCTATAATTTCTCGTGAAATAATTTCTCAATCTCACGAAAGAGTTAACAAATCTTACACAAGATTTAATCCGCTACAAACACTTACGCTCTTGGATGTAATTTGCTGAAGAAAAACCCACAAAACTCACTAAGCACTCGTTTCGGTGCTTCAAGTCTTCTCTGGACTTGGATGGTATGAAGACCATGCTCTGCACTCTTCAACTACTGTCTCGCAAGGTGTCCACTATAGAATATATTATATGTGCCCAAGAATTCACCGAATCATGGTCCAAGTCAAAGCCACGTTGGACTTTCTTGTTTCACGCCCAAGACTCCTACGTAATATAGGAAAGTTGATATTATCTTTGCAACTTCAACGCGCCCAAATTTAATTCTTGATCCAGATTCCAAATCGTAATATGTTTGCTTAATTTTAAACTTTCCTATAATAAACCAGGCTTGTTTATAATTTATCTCTGGTTGGATTTCGTTCATGGACTTAAACTCGAGATAGATTTTTGCAATCTCCATCTTGGCTCGAGGTTTGAACCAAGTTACGGTCGCTTTGATATAATCCGAATTTCGCTACTGCTCTCCCTCAGCCTCACATCAACTCAACCGCCACAGACATCTTTGAAGTCCAAGTCTCGCTTGAACTTTGCTATAACCGTAGACCTCATCAGAACGCTAACTTCACATGCACCTTTAACTACTCCACAAGGATTTTCCGACACAATCTCCTTAACTACATATAAAGCAAAACCATCGTTGCATCCATAATTGCTAGAAGATCGAACACATACCTTATCAGCAACTGTTGGTTTTATAGGCTCCACCTCGCTACAGGCACCATTTGTGTTGATTACTTTGTTATTACCCGCTACCTCAGGAGTTTCTGATTGCAATTCCACCTTAAGCTGAACACAGTTCAGATTTGTATGAACACTGCCAATAATACTCATACCTAGAAGCACTGGATACTCGTCAAATGAAACTTCTTTGCTAATAATAGGTGAATTTAATTCCGGACACCACAATCAATAGCCCCGCTCACCTTATGTATAACCTAGGAACATGCACTTTCATGTCTTTCCATCGAGCTTACCATCGCTTACTCGAACATAACATGGGCAACCAAATATTCTAAGAACATAATAATTAGCAACATTATCTGATGCACTTCTTCGAGAGTTTAACATCCTATCGTAGTTGATGGAGACCTATATTTCAAGTAGCTCGCCGTACCAAATGCATCTGCCAGGAATCTCCTAACCATACCAGCATTATAGAGCATTTTATGGGCCATCTTTAGTAATGTTCTGCTCATCAACTCTGCAACATGTTGAACCACTAGTGTGGTGTTTCACTTTGCTTTCCCTCATGCAGAATTTGTTTAACAGCTTTGAGCAAAACTCCATGCTACTGTTAGTCCGCACATACTTGATTGTTTTACCAGTCTCCTTTTCGATCAAAGCTTTCAACTGTATGATCTTGACAATAACATCAAACTTGCTCCTTAGTATAAACATCTAAGTTTTCCTCGAGTAGTCATCCACAATTATTAGCATAAACCAAACAGTTTGTTCTTGAAAGAAATCGCGACAACTTGCAAACATTCAAGTGAATTAATTTTGCAATATTCGTAGTTTTTCTGACAGTTGCACTGAACTGCACTTTCCGTCGTTGATCTAAGTCACAACAACCGCATACATTTAGTTCATTAGTAATTTAACCACATAGCAAATTCCTTTCACTTAGAAACCTTCAGGCTTCTTTCGCTAATGTGCCCTACAATTCAAACTCTTGAACGGATGCATCCAACGTCTTCGCGGAGAATTCCATCACCGTCTCACCTTGAAGCTCACATAGGCTACTATGCTTGATTCCTTTCATTATCACCAAGACGCCTCGAATAATTTTCAGACTTCTATCTTCTGAAGTATACTGACACCTAGCTGAATCTAGAGTACTCAAGGAAATCGGGTTCTTCTTCAACTTTGGAACATGCCTTACTCCAATTAATGTCCTCATAATATTATCATGCATTCTGATTTTAATATCACGAACATCCACAACATTGCACTCAACGTTGTTCCCCAACTATACTTTACTACTATAAATGCATTGATACGTAGTAAACCAGTTCTTGTTTAGTGTAGCGTGAAACGAACAACTAGAATCCATCCATCCATCAAACGACGAATCATTAGTGACAAACAATACATAATTGGCACTATTTGAATTACTGTCAGCTATAGCTGCAACATCATCCGCAGACTAAAGCAATCCTTAACCCTTGTCGTTTTTTAGCTTAAAGCAATCCCTTCTAAGATGCCCTTTCTTGTCACAACTCCAACAAACAACACCACCAGTCCTAGACTGATTTCTTCTATTCAAGTTTATACTACTCTTGCTAACACGTGTACTAGTTCTTCTTCTATTTTCACCTATTAAAGCAGTAGATACATGTTTACTAAATTCTCTTCTTCAGATGTCCTCATTCTGAATTAAATCTCGAATCTCATCAAACGTCAAACTTGTTGACCCAGAGGAATTACTAACAGTAATAACAATAGTATTCCAATTATTGGGCAATGAAGATAATAAAATTAAAGCACATACCTCATCTTCAAAATCAATCTCAACTGACTAACAATCACATTGAATTCATTGATATCACCTGCAAGTCATGCACCTTCGCTCATCTTCAAATTAAACAGACGTCGCATCAAATAAACTTTCTTAATCGCAGAGGGCTTCTCGTACATGTTCGATAGGGCTCTCATCAAACTCGGAGTGGTTCTCTTTCACAATGTTAAATGCAAAGTTACGAGCCAACATCAGCCAAATAACACCCAATACTTGCTTATCCATTTTTTTTTCCAATCAGCTTACTTCATCGTCTCTAGCTTCTTCTCAGATAGGAGTAAGTGCAATTTCATCTGACATAGATAATTCTCAATTTGCATCTTCCATAAACCAAAGTCCTTTCCATCAAATCTGTCTATTTTCACTTTTCCTTCTTCTGTCGCCATAGATTCGCTTCAACTCAGCCAAGCCTAGCTCAGATATCAATTTTTGCGTGAGCAAGCGATCGAACAGTAAAATTGACAGAACAAAAAAATAAATTGGACATCAGATTTACATGATTTAGTTATAGTGACCTACGTTCGCGAGGAGAGTAGCATGAAATTCCACTATATATGAAGCGATATAACGGAAATTACAGCTACATTCGAGTCACTCAAACACTCTCGGTGTTTTCCAAGCTCCAATTACCCCTAATAAATCACACAGTGTTTAGCCCCACAATTCGTCATAAAATAATCTCTCAATCTAACAAAAGAATTAATAAATCTTACATGAGATTTAATCCACTACAAACACTTATGCTCTTGGATGTAATTTGCCGAAGAAAAATCCACAAAACTCACCAAGCACTCGTTTCGGTGCTTCAAGTCTTCTCTGGACTTGGACGGCATGAAGACCACGCTCTACACTCTTCAATTACCATCTCCCAAGGTGCCCACAATAGGATATATTATATGTGCCCCAGAGTTGACCGAATCATGGTCCAAGTCAAAGCCACGTTGGACTTTCTTGTTTCACGCCCAAGACTCCAACATAATATAGGAAAGTTAATATCATCTTTGCAACTTCAACACGCCCAAATTTAATTCTTGATCAAGATTCCAAATTATAATATGCTTTGCTTAATTTCAAACTTTCCTATAATAAACCAGGCTTGTTTATAATTTATCTCGGGTCGGGTTTCGTTCAC